AGGTCTTCTCCAACCTTAATGATTCTGATTCTGTCAGTTTGTTGCTCTCTGGGAAGGAAATCTGTCAACACCCCTCCCTGTGTACCTCCCACCCTGCAGTTAAAGACAGTTTGTTTGTCTTCAAAGTGATTTTATGAACAGCAAGAGGAGAAATCAGGTTCCCAACGTCACTGGCAGCTTCTGTGGAACCCTCCAGGGGCTCTTTGGGTCCCAGTCACTGCCTCTGTCCCTCAGCAGACTCCTCCAGTGCTAATTCTTGACAATTTAGCATCAAATGAAACAATATCTACACCCTGCTCTGCAGGGTGGCTGCTCCACTTCTGCCAGAAAAGTGAGGGTGCACAAAGAAGACACTTTTTGGGTGGGGTTATCCCCAGTGGACACTGAGAATTGCATTTTCCTACTCTACAAACTTCAAGCTGAAGAACACGAGGTAACTTTGGAGTCACTGATTTATTTCCTTCCCAGGGAAGCTCATTTTTACCAGATTCCCTCCTTTTCCCCCCTCTGAGCCCTCCCCTCACACAGACTGAGGTTCCCTGGGGGGCTCCCAGAGAAGAATTTGTCTATTTTATGCTTTCAGTAAGTTCTTTTATTGCAGAAACTCCTAAATCCTTCACAAACCCTGCAGAGACCAACAGAAAGATGCAGAGACAGCAACATACCATGAGCTGAGGACAGGCAGAACAAGCTTAAAGAAGAGATCTCAAAGCCTTGAGCAGTTCAGTCGTTTTTAAAAGAAAATGTGATTAAGTGCAAAGAGACTATTTGCTATGTAGCAGAAAAAGGGCACAGGGCTACAAAAATACCAACAAATTCTCTCTCTCTCTATTCATCTAAAGCCACACAAGCTGCAGGATGGGAAGGCACCTTCCCAGGCAGGTTATCCAACCCCAAACTCTCAGCCATCAGTTTCAGAGTTTGTTTTCATGTTTTTCTTCTCCCCCTGCTTCCCTAGGGAGGGGCTGCATAGATGCAGGGACAGCTCAGCAGATTTCAGTCTAGGTGCTGGCAGGATTAGGGGAAGCACTTCTGGAAGGATAAGCCCTCATCTTTTCAGGCAAGTGTCTGGATGGTTTTTCGTTGCCTTTTCAGCATTTCCATTACGACGGCTCGTGCTTCTTTATCCTCTTGCTTTTCTCTTCGACATCTTTTAGCACATCTTGCAGCTTCTTCGAGCTGCGTGTCAGGAAGGCAAAGCTCTCTTTGAAGCTGCTGATGCCGTGCTCCCGACCGACAGTCTCAAGCCCATCGAACCACTGCAAAATCTTCTCGAGCTCAGCCCCGACAGCCTTCTGCTCCTCCAGTTCCGCCCGCAGGGCCTGCCCGGCAGCCGCCTCCGCCCTGGACCGCCGCTGCAGCTGCTGGATCTCGTCCTGCAGCGCCCGGAACTCCTCCTGGCTGTAGGGGTACTGCTCGTGGACCTTGTCCTCGGGGAGGAGCACGTTCTTCGGGACGCTTAACACCAGCTGCAGAAGAACTTCTTCCATTTTACTGAAGAGTTTCTCGAAGTGCTCCTTCATGAAGAGCAGGAACCGCTCGGTGCTTTTCCGGATTTGGAAGGGGCTGATCCTGGAGGCGGGAGAGGCAGCCAGCTTCTTCAGGATGACGCTCTCCACCACCAGCATCACCTCGAACAGGTAGTCCTGGAAGGCGATGTAGATGCGCAGCATGCACGTCTGGGGGGTGAACCCGAAGAACTGCGCCTCGTAGGCCATAGGATTGACCGACATGGCGGCGGGGAGG